TTAATTAAAAACAGGACTTATACTAAAAAATGTTTGCTGGTCATATTGAGCCAACAATAGCATGAATGTACTAATGCACTTAGCAAGGAGATTGTCAATGCATTAACAATTACATAGTTAATGCTTTTATATTAAGCAACAGGCAGCATAACATCAGTTATTATTAACATCATTCTTTGCTTGTCTTTGACTGATCACAGGCTCTACACTCCAGCACAATGGTGACCCACAAAACTAATGAATTAAACTAAGAGATCTCTCCTATATCGCCTTTTTCAAAAACATATAAACATTTCAGTCAGTTATTGACTTTTTATAACATTTTTCTATTAACTTTCACTAATATTTCAGTGAAATTACCTTCTTTCATTTAATAAATCGTCTCAGTTACTAATGTAACCCTCGTTCCCTGAAGGAGGGAACAGAGACGTGACGTCGACGCCATCAGTTGCTCCCACATCCAGCGCCCTACGCAAGACTGTCAGACCCCCAATTGCTGGGGCGGAAGACCTGCGTAGAGGGAATTCATTCAACTACTGTTCCATTATACCCCACATAATGAACTCTTGGATAACACTGGGAAAGCGTACCCTTCCAGAGGAAAGGGCCGCTGCGGAACCACATCCTGCCGATGGGAGGTAACGTGGACAATACACATGGACTGGCCGGAGGGGCAATGCAACATATGGAATGTCACTGGGGTGTCTCCACCCGAAGAGAGAGGCAACACCGGACAGTGATGGCAGAGCAGACTCTGCCAAGGGAAGACACGGGCTCACCGCAGGGAGCTGGTCGTGGAAGAATACACATATGGAATTGCTGCAGGGATCACTACATATGGAACCCAGTCTAGCACAAGTTACACAAGCATACAAGCACTAGGCCTGGCATCGGATACTCCGCAACGTCCCACTTTGTGGGAGTTGCGGAGGAACTCGCAGGGTTCGCCAAACGGGGACTTCGGTATTACCGGCTGGTTGAAGCGAGCACACAGGAAGAAACTGGCTCAACAAGTAGGCTGTAAAACCTAAGGAACATGTTAGGTGTCGCCCAGCCCGCAGCTCTACAGATGTCTGTCAGCGAGGTGCCGTGTGCCAGCGCCCAGGAAAAAGTGACACCCCTAGTGGGTGGGCTTTCAACCCAGGCGGGCAGGGCACGCCTTGGGCATCAAAAGCCAAGTTGGACATCCACTATCCAGTGGGCCAACCTCTGCTTGGAGACAGCCTTCCCTTTCTGCTGGCCTCCATCACAGACGAAGAGCTGATCTGAGGTCCTGAGGCTTTGCTTTCTGTCCACATAAATATGCAGAGCGCGAATGGGACAGAGAAAAGCCAGAAAGAAGGCAGCACTTGCAGGTTCTCTACCTGGTCCTGGAAGGGAGTGGTAAGAACCTTGGGCACGTATCCAAGTCAGGGTCTCAGGATCACGTGAGAGTTATCTGGGCCGAATTCCAGGCACGATTCGTCGACCGAAAATGCATGTAGGTCCTCTCTTGATAGAGGCCAATGCAACCAGGAAAACTGTCTTACAGGACAAGATTTTTAACTCAGCTGATTGCAGAGCCTCAAAGGGGGGTCTCTGAAGTGCCGAAAGGACCAGAGACAAATCCCAAGAGGGTATAGAGAGTGGGCGAGGAAGATACAGTCTCCTCGCTCCCCTCAGGAACCTGACAATCAGGTCGTGCTTCCCCAAAGATTTACCATTAACAGCATCGTGATATAGCGGCAACATACACTTTAAGCGTGGAGGGAGACAGCCTACGCCCCAATCCTTCTTTCAGGAAGGAAAGCACTGCTCTGATCGAGCAAGATCTGGGGTTCTCTCATGAGAGGCGCACCAGTCAATGAAGAGGTTCCACTTCAACGCAGGCGCCTCGTAGAGGGGGCTCTAGCGGAAGTGATGAAGACCCCGGGGCCAGCTGTGTGCCAGAGCATCCATGCCGAGGGTCCCCTCAGTCAGGGAATAGAACAACTGGCAGTGTAATTATAAAATCATAAAAAATTCTGTAGACTACCTTGCTACACTATGTAGTCTACTGTAGGCGTTTTTTATAAAAAAAACGAAAAAACAAGATTTCAGCTTGATTTTTCGTTTTTTGTTTAACGTGTCAAAAACTATAAATGACTTCAAAATCCGTTTTGCACATGTGGGCGGTCATGAGACGCCCCTTTCCGCCGATTGGTGAAGCAAATCTGAGTCTGAAGTCATCAGTAATTCCCGACTTTTCAACAAAATAATAGTCTATGGCTCTGCGTACCGCTTGTACAGGGCTGTACAACTTAACGTGCTGCATAGACCGCGCAGAGCAGGTGAAGCACAGACCATGTTCTGTGAAGTGTAAAGGCACACTCTTAGAAAAAAGGGGTCCATTGGGGTTCTATATATGAAGCATAGAGTTCTTTACTCAACCCCAAATAACCTTTTATGATAAAAAGGTTCTATAATGACAAGAAAGAACCCTTTTTGCACAATGGTTTTTATAGGCTATTATTCATATATTACATTATTATGCAACATTTTGTAGTTGTAATTAAATTAGCCTATTGTTTATTAAACTGTTGTAGTAACTTATCACATTTTAATCATGCTGATTTTTGGAGGAGAAAAACTGAAATGGCACTCTTCGTGTGACATTGATTAATGCATAAGTAATATATGGTAAATGGACTGCATTTATATAAATAATAAATAATACATAATACATTGTTTAATACATATTGATAATACATACAATGATATAAATATCTTCTAACCCCCATATCTTGAATTTTGTGATCATTCACATGCATTCATAAATACATTTTAGGGTCTTGATGTTTGTCAATAATATGAAAAATGTAACCTGGAAGGACAAAACAAATGATAATGAATGAACCAAAAGGTTCATATATAGAACCTTTTTCATGGTTACAAAGAACCCTAAAGGGTTCTTATTATTGAACACTTAAAAAGGGTTCTGTATAGACCCTTTTAGGGGTTCCAAGCTGATAGAACCTTTTCTTCTAAGAGTGTAGCAGTCATAATAACTCTTCTTTTAGACAATACGCGTTTTGGACAAGGGGTGGCCACTGCAAATCGGCTAATGTAAAACTGCTGATGGTGAATACCGATGATGGTAAATAACTAATCATAGCCGTGAGAGTGAGATGATTGACAGGACGAGGAGATAGCCTAACATGTGATAGTTAAAAAAATATTTGTTTGTTTAATACAAGTGAGTTTGTATTTGAAAACAACAACAACAAAAAAGAAACAATCAAATAACGGTGTGAACCACAAACTGAGCTGAGCGTTCATTTAAAGGGACATTTCCAAATATATTTTATTTATTTGTTACACTCAAAAAAATGCTGGGTTGTTTTAACCCAATTTTGGGTCAAATATGGACAAACCCGAAATGTTGGGTTAAAAATGTAATGTAAAAATTTAACCCAACGGCTGGGTTAGTCCATATTTGACCCAAAGTTGGGTTAAAACAACCCAGCATTTTTTAGAGTGTATATTCAGTGTTGGGCAAGTTACTTTAAAAAAGTAATTATGCTACTTAAAATTACTAGTTACTACTTCCAAAAATGTTGCGTTGCAACATAACATTTTCACAATTTTCACTTAACATTTGTACATAATTTTTCCTGTTCGCATGAGGAAAAAAAAAATGAGGGTAAGTCAGGTATAGATTCGGAAGCACAAGGTACTGTACATACAACAATGCAACAATAATAAAACAATGCATTCCCATTTTTACTTTTGATACTTGTACTTTTAAAAATTAGTACTTCTGTACTTTTACTTAAGTAAAAATTGGCCTTTACAACTTTCTTTCTTTTACTTGTAACTGAGTAATATCTCACCTGTATCTGCACTTTCACTCAAGTAAGGAAGTTATGTACTTTGTCCACCTCTGTCTATTTAGCACCTTGTTAGAGAAGTAGACTCTGTCAGTTTAAATCTAGACTAAAAACTAATCTCTTTAACCTAGCATACACAGAACATTATTAATTTCTATTAGTCAAATCAGTTAAATGATTGTAGGCTGCATAAACTAGTCAGCCGGATCCAGATTGTGGACCTGCGCCTATGACCACAACACATGATGTAATCAGCCGGACCCGAAATGTATCCAGATCGATGGAGGGCATGTGACCACAGCGCATCCCTGAAGTGTCAGTAGAGATTCAACCCTCCCCTGTGAAGGCCTCATCTATACGACACCCAGTGGTACTGATCCTCAACAACCCTGTCTCCATACCGGTGTCACGGCATGATGACTCAAATCTTTAACCAGCATGGAACTGGATAAATATTCTGACTTTTCCGATTTGATTTCTGACCTGCTGCCTGAATAATAATCATAGACTGTTCGTTTGTTGGCCATTAAGAGGAGGACTAGCCCCCTGACTGACCTTTTTTCCCAAGGTTTTTTCTTCATTCTGTCACCTGCTTCTGTCACTCCACTTAAGCTAGAATATGACAATATTCTCTTCTTGATCTGTTGTAGCTGAAACAAACTTTGTTGCATTCGTTTCCTGTTATAGCTATCACTATAAGCTATCAAAGCTGCTTTGAAACCATCTATAGGCCTATTGTAAAAGGCGCTAAATAATGGTGACTTGACTTAGGCTACATAGGAACAAGGAAATTATTATTATTTTACAAATTATTCGCATTTATCTTCGTCCCACAAAAAAGTTTGACCTTTGAACGTGAGTTTAGTCACCTCAATGAGTGCACAAATGAGACATTAGCCCCACAAAAGAGCAAAATTGTGTTCAAGTTTAATGCGCAAACTTAAGTTGAACATTGATTATTTATTTACGTATTTAATTAATATATTTAACGTGTAAGCCTGTAGTTATAATTCACATAGGCTACGCATAACTATAGGGAAAAAATAATAAAGAATCAAATGGGAAGATAGCGCGCGCCCACGGCACGTCCGCCTTCACGAGCATACGCTTGTGAGAGAGCGTGAGAGAGAGAGAGCGAGAGAGAGAGAGAGAGAGAGAGAGAGAGAGAGAGAGAGAGAGAGAGAGAGAGATTGGTAAAGATCAGTTGAGTCTCGTCACGGAGATCTTCAGTCAATGACAGCGCTCACATTCTCCTCTTGAAGGTGACGCAAAAGGGATTATTACAGCGGTTATTCGGTATTTTTCTGTCGTTGTGTTTATCCGAGTGTAGTGTGTTGACACCTTTATCTATATTGATGCAGATGCTTGTGCTGGTCTGTGTGTGCGCGCTGCTGATCGCCGGGGCTTCTGCCCGCAACGACAACGGCAATTTTTTGGACGACAAATGGTTGACCGGGAGATGGGACAAATTCAGAGATGTGAGTGCTGCTCTGCTTCCTAACAGTAGCTCATTTGCCAAGTCTAGTGACCTGCCTACATAGGCTACGGCATTTTTGGATAGGCTATCATAAGCGCGTTTGAATCCATGTTGACTAGCTAGGCAGCTCACTCGGTTTTGAGACACAGCATGCAATTTGGGATTCTATTTGTTGTTAAACTGCGTGTGTAATGTATTTTTACTGAAAGATGCTAAATGTTTTGGAAGAAGCCGCATGAGATTTCATAATTCGCCTTTCACAAATCCTCCGTGTGGTTTTAATACAGGCTATTTTACGGAAGACAGTCGCCAATCAATTAGACTCAGTGCGTCACTTCTGCGCCGTTAAGTGGGCTTTGGTACGGCTATTTTAACCATCCACTGGCTAATACACTTAAGATGAGATCTGAACTATATTAACTTCGTGTCTATCAGGCTGAGTACTTCATACACAGAGCAAAAATGAGAGTATCTCACAAACAATAACAAGTAATCTTTCACCTGCGGATGTTGCGATTCTTGATGCGTTTGCGCGTGCGTGCATATGGCCTACTGTGTTTTAACCTGGGTACAAACCTACCCCAAGGAGAGCTAAACCTGGTTTCAGTGGTTACTATGGAAGATATTGCTTTGTTAAACCTATAAAATTATTTCTTATTTAAAATGTTATAAATGTTAGGACTGTCAACTCTTTTATTATTATTAAACTCAGAACCACATGATTGTGATACTGATTTGTAAAAGAATTAAACAAGAAGTTGGTATAGAGTAACTTTTCAGGCATAAAAATAGGATGGTTAGCTTGTATGTTTTTTCAACAAAAATAGTTCCAAAAGAAGGCAAAGGCATCAAGACTGAAAGTCATGTGATTTCTGCTCCACACTCAGTGCGTTCTGTAATCACTTGGCACCGTTTTTCTTTTTCCCCCTCTCCCTGCACACTTGTAAGAACACCTTAGAACAAGAAAATCTGCTCTGTCTTTAAATGCCGCTTGGCTAATTAAATTCAATACTGGGCCTAACAATTGTGTAAACAACTAAATTATATTCTGTGTGATAGGATGTAGCCTAGATGGAACTAATTTCTGGTTTAGTGTCGATTAAAACATGAGACAAAACAGACTGGGAAACATTGAATTGGATCAAGAAAATCTCCTCTGACCAGGTTGTAGAATTCAATAAATAAACAGTTTTTTTTCTCCCCAAAGAATCTTAACTAAATCACTGTGATATTGTTAGCACAAAGTCATTAAAACAGGAAGAAAACCTCAAAAATAGAGACACATAGAACAATATAAATATAACTGTATTTTTTTAAATACAGTTTTTATACAGTTACTGGCAAACCAAAAGTGATAGCTCTTGGAAGCCCTTATAGCTTGTCTGAATTCACAAACATCAAAACAATCAAAATGTGTCAAGGTAAATAACAAGGTCCTTTATAAACAGGATGTTAATTGACAGTCTACACTTAGTGTAATGATATCATCTGGACCAGAGGACTTCCATTTCCTCCTGCATGTGTGTCTATTTGTGGTAATGATGTTTATGTAAGGGATGTAGTTAAGACAGTCACGTGGGTGGCATAGGTCTCCCACATAGGGCATGACAACTTCTCTACCTGATTATACAATCTCTCTCTCTATCCACACTATCATTTCAGCCAAATATTTAGATGTAGCTACTTAATGGGAACACCAGTAAAACAAACACTAGCAGAATCAATAACACCAATGAAACGAAGTGTGTGAGTATCTCAATATCAAGAACATCGAGGCCACACACACTTTAACCAAACAATCATTAAGAACATGAAAACAATGAAGGAAACATTATGCTGTTATGCATAATGTTTCCTTTATTACTGTATGTTCAATACTGATATTACTGTATGGTATATTACAGATATTACTGTATGTTCAATAGTTTTAGATGGATTTCATGGACCTCAACAATTATAACAAAAAAGCTGGATGACAATCAGCAAACCTCATTAAGAAAAACGAGTTATTGACATCACCACACAGTAAAAAAAAAAGTCAAGAAGCACTTAAACAATAATCATATAACAGCAAACATTAATTAATGCTGTATTGCATGCTGGACACTAGCAAACCCTTAACAAACCTGCACCATTGTTCAATATTAAACTTTTTATTCATGTAACTCTAAGACAAGTTTACAGAGAATTTTGTGTTATACTGACAAATCCATTGAATTATATTTTTTTATTCTGTGACACAAAAAGCCACATATGCTGGATAAAACTTAATTCCCTTTTTTTATTTTACAGTCCATGCACACTTCCACTCTGTACCCATACTGAAAACTCCCTCTCAATTGCCCTCTCTTGCTTCTTTTCTTTCCAGCTTCACAGCTGAAGGCACATTAAAGATTGCTTAGACTCTTCATGTGACAATTCAGGCCATCAGTAAAGAGAAAGTGATTTATGCAGATTAGTTGTTCATCAAACACGGCTTCCACAAGATTTTTTTCCTATAATCAACTGACCCTTAAAGCAAAGCAATTACTGAAAGACTCTGAGCCCTAAAATCACAGACTCCCAATCACATTTAAGCTTTGAGACACTGCACATGTACTGGAAGCACAGGCTGTCAAGCTTTTGTTTGGTGAAGTGCGTGTATTGTGACTTTGTGAGATTGACAGGCTGAAAATGGCCATCAGTGATCCCCCTGCAGTGTCAAACATCTTCTGTCTCCCTCGCGCACCACACACACACACACACACACACACTCTTGACTTCTCTGTCAGCTTTGCTTTAGTGACATTTTTAACGCTCTATCAACTTCAGGCTAATGCTGCCAGAGGAGGTAAGAAAAGAGTATGGAGAATTTTATGACTTTGTGAGAGGCTTGAATGAGAAACATAGCCAATCTACAGTCATGTGTTTGACTTCGGTATAAAGGACAGATCTGGAAACTACCATAGTGACAGGAAGGATCTCACAAAAAGGAAAAGCTGCAGTGTGTAACATTTCAAGAAAATAGAAAAAGGGCATGTTTCATATGTTTACATGCTAATTTCCGTCAATCCGAACGTATCCAAACTGATTTCAGATTCTGAAAGTTCTGCTTATATCCCAGCAAACAAATTTAGGTTCTGGGAACGTTCTGGGAACGTTAGTTTTTGGTTCCCAGAACGTTCCTAGAACTTTCCCTTAAGGTTAAGGGAACGTTCCCGGAACATTCTCCTTACGTTATAAAAATGGAACCTAAAAATAACCTACATGGAACGTTCCTATAACGTTCTTGTTTGGTTCCCAAAAAAATAACCTCATGGGACCATTCGGGAACGTTAGGGGAACGTTCTGTGTTTGCAGAGATTAACTGTAAATTTTAACCTTATAAATAAATAGTATGTTAACCCTAAATTTTGCAGTCTAATTGACATATTCATTTACATGTGCATAACATGTATTCCGTGTTCAGAAGTGGATAAATCCAACACGATAATGTCACCCGAGCAACCGTGAGTACAATTGTGATTTTTGATACATCTAAAAAAAAAAATGTACTGATATATCTCATACTGTACTGTATGTCAGAAGATCAGTTTTTTTAAACGCAATATTCAGTAAATATTCCGTTTTCAATTACTGGCCAGTTTGTAAGTTGTAAAAAAAAACATACCGGGTATGCCAATTTGTAAGACGTACACATACGGCACTGCACATGCAAGGTATTTTTAAATCAGAAAAATGTTGGAGTTGCTTATTCCTATTGATCAGATTATTTCAGGTCTACACCACCCAATCAAATCTGATTGAAATTTCATTCTGATCGACTCAGTCAGACCAAGTGAGGCGAGCACTAATGGATTACTTGATTGCATGTTAACTTAGCTAGAAATGACAAAATAAAAGCCCCAGTTACTGATATACCTCTACTGACAAAGTTTGTCAATAACATTTCCAGTAAACCAAGATTTGAACTTCAAACTTTTTGTGACTTCAAACACAAAAATGAATAGTTTACTTAAAAACTATATTTTTATATGTGGAACATAAAATCTTCAAATAATCTTTACACATTCCCATACAACACTCTATAGTGACTGCATCTATCAAGCACTAAAATTTACCAAAAAACGTTGTTATGTGCCATTGGAAAAACATCTTCAAACAAGTTTGAAACACCATAATGGTGAGGTGTTATATTTACTAATATATTACAAAAATCTAATAATAATAATAATCTCAATCTATTGTTGTTATTGATGACCATACAATTTCTGAAATGTCTGAAATCACAAAAATGAATCCTGGTTGAAGGGTGGGGGTGCTCTGAGTATAATGTATTAGAGACTCAAAAAGGCTGAGAACCACTGCTTTAAAGGTGCCATGTGTAAGAATTGAGGTTAAACTCTCTAAAAAATGAGCTACACGCATCAAAAGAATGAGATGAAATAAGGTTGATGATGTCATTAAAAAAATGACAAGTTATAGTGCTGCAGAGATATTAACCTGAATTAGCATGCTAAATTACTAGCCCCGGCCCAGCAGGTGTCATAATACCAGTTTCGGCCATGGGAGGCGGTATGCGGGCGGGCAACATAACCACCAGCCAAACTGCAATACACGAGTAACTCGCATGGCTTGTTGTGGGTGTACTTGAACCTGATGTCAATTGTGTGGAAAGTACAGCCCACTACTACGTATTTTAGTTCAGGGAAGAGTTGAGGAAAAAATGATTGGTCGATATTATGCATGAGGAATACATTTTGGTAAGTTGTAGTATACTGTATCTTTCAACAGCGTTCGTGTGCTTGTACCATTAGCTAGTAGAGATGATCGGTTCACATGCGCTAGGGATCTGTCGTGTAACATTTACAGTAGAAGCGCCAAAACGGTATTTATTGTTTGAATTGCGTAATAAAATTGACAGAATCTGAGAGCTGAGATTTTTTTGTATATCATAACTAACTAGACGGCCTTTATAATTTAGTGTTGAGATGTTGTTCATTGAGTCTCTAATCTCTAAAA